CCAATGAGTACTCGTCATGAAGGGGTCCTTTCGATACAATAAACCTGTGCTTAGATTTGGACAAAATATTCACTAATCTCTTCATATTGTCCACATCTGCCGCACCCATAGATCCCAATGAAAAGTACACCAATTTTCCCGGCCTGTCTCTCAACGGCACCGGTATCTCAAACTTCAATTGAATATCTTTACGCATGAAATTGTCAAATCGGATATAATTCTTAGGCAATGGTCTGATATCGAGATAATCTAATTCTAACGGAAAGGCGTATAAAATCAGACAATCAGTGGTTTCGATGAAATGAAATTTAGGCAATGGTTGACAGCCTTTAGAGACTACATAAGCGTTGAATTGTTTCCACGGCTCGAGTGTTGTGTTTCTCTTTACTTCATAAAATTCTTTCCATAACTTCTTATCCCCAAAAGCAGACAAACCTTTAATTATAAAAAACAACAAAACTTATTCCGAGTAGACCTTCAACTAAATGTTCCTGTTAGATTGAATTTACGGGCATTGCCTGAATTTATCTGTTAGCCTGAACTACAGAGAACAGGGAAGTGAAGTTAAATGACATTTAGGAAGTGTTGCAGGTCTTATTTCAAGTTAAAAATATCAGTCAATATTATAATTTAAATTATGAAACATTTAGTTTTGTTGTGCATTATTATAATTATATAACGAAAACAAACCTGAACTGGGCGGAGGTGCCCTATCATCATCTACCAAAGTTAGAGTTCCGTTACCACAGGCCCACACATACGGTATACCTGAACGCATCACTGATGGCAACGACATAAACTGATCAAATACGATAACATCGGGCGCTATTTCAGGCAGCAATTGAGCTATTTGTTGGTCCAGACGTTTAACGGCATCGATCCTATCTGTCCCGCCCGCTCCTTTCATGGCTGCCTTGTCAAGTGCCGACTTCGGCCCTATTTTGCCCGCTTTTACCATATATTTGGCTATAGTTTTGACGTCCGGTTGTGGGGACTCATCGTCCCCTTTCGGTAATACTAGCTCTTGAATGCCGTGAGCGCTAAGCCGTCCCTTCCATCTCTCAGTGACGGCCACTATAGCCTTGTGTCCGTCCCTTACGAGTGCACTCGCAATACCGGCGCAGTAGTTGAGCTGACCCTCACCCATAATAGGGATAAATAACACGGTCAATATATTGGCCATTTGTTTTACATGTACTGTACAGTATTTAATTAGTGTAAAATATGTTTACTGCTTACAACTCTGTAATAATTAATGTAATATGTAATACTATGAAGAACATTTATCATTTAACATTTTAGTAAAATTTATAAAAACAAGAATAGAGAATAATAAATATAATCATGGTGATTTTGCAATATATGATTAATTTAATTTCAGTGTATGAGTTTTATATATTGTAAATTAATGTTAAGTTTTACATTTAAGTTTTATTTATTCAAATTTATTCAATTGTATATACGGTAAATGCAATTGTAAATAAATTAAAAATTTTGCCTGAATTAAAATTTTCATTAAATGCAAACTAAACATATGAACCAAAATTTGAGTGTGATTTTCCAGAAACTTTAGAAAACATTAAATTACCTATGAATGAAATTTTCATCATAACTAAAACAATTTAATTTTAATAATGCTGAAGGTATGACTTGTAAAAAATATAGTAATGAAAACCTGTTTTAATAGAATTTCGAAACTTTTATATTGTTTTCATAAGAAAATTTTAGTTTTCAAATAATTACCTTGTGATAAATGAAAATCAATTGTAAATCTGTTTCTAAAAGCAAACTAAAATAAACACAAATTCACATTATGGTAACATAGAGGCAAAATCTATCTTTTGAGTAATCCTTGTTTAATTTATAAATAATAAAATTTATTATTAAGATAACTATTTCCGGTAATTTATTCTAGTATACCTTATATAATGAATAATTTAGGAAATTAATATTGATTGTAAACATAACTTAAATCATAAATTGTATAATAATTAATAATTAATATATTCAGTAATATTATTATTCAATATCATTAAAAATCATATTGATGGTAACTTTGATCGATAAACTGCATTTATTTAATTGAGGATGTTAGCTTATATTTTGTAATTTTTAAGGAATTTCCATATCAGTGTTGGAAATGCATAATAATCCTTAATAAATATTTTCTATTACTAACAAATGCACTTCAAATACACTTACAAACAATAACGGGTCCATTAAGTATAAACATAGTGCGAAAATCAAAGATTATAAATACAATTTACTAGATTTTAGTACAAAAAATTATTCCTTCTCATTAATTAGGAATGATAAGTTATCAATAATATATAATTGCTACTTTAAAAGTTGCTTAACATATTATATTGGTAATCACAGTCGTAATCAGACAATCAATTATGGCACATGATTGAATATAATAAAAAGTGCTTTAAGTACAATTAAAGTACACAGTGTTAAACAGGTATAAAAAGTCTACATTAGAATTTTTTTAAAAAGTTATACATTTATGTTTAGTTTATTTATAAGCCATAATAAAGGTTAAACAAAAATAAAAATTTAAAAAATGAGTGTCCATGATAAAAAGCAGCAATCCCTACTATTCACACCCATCAAAATACGGGGCCTAACCCTCAAGAACCGTATCGGCGCATCACCAATGGCTACGTGGCAAGCGGTAGATGGTATAGCAAATGATTTTCACCTAGCACACTACGGCGCATTTGCCCTGGGTGGTGCCGGACTGGTTATGGTAGAGGCCACCGCTATCGAGCCAAGGGGTCGCGGCGCCAAAGCCGGAATTTCCATCTATAATGATAAACATGTCGATGCGTTGAGTCGTATGACCAAGCTCATTAAATCACAAGGAGCCGCACCAGCCATACAACTGTTCCACTCGGGTCGTAAGGGTAGTACAGCTGAACCCTGGGCTAACATTAGACGCCAGTTAACGGATGATGAGGGCGGTTGGGATCTCATAGCTCCCAGTGCTATACCGTTTGGCGATGGTTTGGATAGAGTGCCCAAAGAGGCCACACTTGAGGACATAGAAGTACTGCAACAGGCGTTTGTGTCGGCGGCGCTCCGGGCGGTAAAGGCTAGCTTTGAGGTATGAGTTATAAATAATATGTTGTGTAATAAATTTAGATTAACATTAAGTTATGTTTTAAAATAATCAAGGTGATTGAGCTTCATTATGCCCACGGCTTTTTGGTTAGTTCATTTCTATCGCTTATTAGTAATCAACGCACCGACCGATACGGCGGTTCACTCGAGAATCGGATGCGCTTCGGCTTAGAGACGGCCCGTCGGGTGCGGGAAGTGATCCCCAAATCAATGCCACTGTTTGTGAGGATTTCGGTCACGGATTACGCGGACAACGGATGGGATGTCAACGACAGCGTAGAGTTTTGACCCCTTGAAGGCCGAGGCGTTGCTTCAGGACAACAGCGCGACACTCATATTCATAGGTCGGGCGCTACTAAACAACCCTCACTGGCCATACACTGCCGCTGACCTCTTGGCCACCGAACACACCTTCAAATATCCCGATTCCTATGACTGGTGTATCGGTTGGAAAGGATTTTTCAAGTGGAGACAGTTATTACAGAATGATCAAAATAATAATTAATTTTATTTATTTGTTTCTACTTAAATTTAATAAATTCTACTACAATTAGAAAAGTGATCGAGGATAATTTTAAATATAAATAATTGTTTTGAAAATATACATTTATTCATATTGCAATCAAACGTTTAAGTTTTATAAACAAACTTGATTTAAAAATTATCCTGGATCATTTTCACAATTTTTGTATGATTTATTTAGTGTTATTTAAGTAAACAGAGACAAAGTTAATGTAATATAAATAAACGAATTTAGTTTGTTTTAAAAATTGATAAATTTAAAATAATATTGTATTTTTAATAATCTAGTTATTACTAAAGAACTAAATTACAACTCTTTAAAATAATACATTTTTTCCAATAATCATTTTATATATATTTCTGACGATTGATAACATAATCTTCAATAATTTTAGCAAGTTTTGCGATACTATTATCCGATTGTATTCTTTGCGATATTTTCTGTAACTTTTCATAATTTTCCGTATCGTTCAATAGTTTTTCAATTGCATTCAATAACTCCTCTTCGGAGCACTTGTAGGCATCGAGTCGTATACCAAACCCCTTGTCCTGTACTCGCTGTGCGTTATCGTATTGTTCACCAAATAGTGGCAAAACAATCATAGGTTTACCAAAATAAAAAGTTTCCGTCACTGTATTGAGCCCTCCGTGGGTTATAACCAAATCAACTAACGGTAAGACTTGGATCTGAGGGACAGACCCCTCGCCCCACATATTATCAGCCAATGAGTACTCGTCATGAAGGGGTCCTTTCGATACAATAAACCTGTGCTTAGATT